ATAGTTTGTAGTACACAGAGGGTCATGACAATTACATCTTTACTGTGAATATTTTAATCAATACAAATTGATCCTCTTTATGTACTTGAGAACTCTTCACATTAAATTCTACCTAAGATGAAAATAACAACTTCTGCTTTTTTCACTTGTCCCAATGTATCTTTTATTTTCTAAATATCTATTACTTGTTTTATAAACAGAGTTTTTATTCACATTTGTTTTTCACAAATGAATTTGAAAGCTACTTTTCAGAGCTGACATTCTTCATTTTATTTTATGCTGTTGGTTCTTCACAATTCCTTGCTGTCTACTCAATTTTTGTCCTTTGAATATACAGATTCTGTCTAACTACATTTGTCTCAAAGGTTTAGACTCCAGTTTCCCTGGACTTTTTAGTCATTACTGCAAAACTTTTACTTGAAAATTTATGCAGTTTTGAAACTCGTTCCCATAAACACTTTAGACTTAACTCTAGGCTTAGTGGCTCTTAATGCTTACTGCTTTTCAAACCAATATCCTCACCTGGGGGTTCTTGGCTGCACTTCGCCATCTGTGAGCTGGAGTATACCCAGAGCCACCTTTTTAAGGGGGCAGGTGAATATTACAGTGGTTGAGCCTGGAGTCTTTTTATTCAGATGACTGTGGTGAAATGGTGCCTAAGACGTTTCTCCCCCGATTCTTTACAAAGTACTCTGATGTCTGGAATTTACTATTGCAAAGACTTTTGGCCCCTGTGACTTATTTCTTGGTATGTAGCTTTTTCCCCCGTCTAGATGTTTAAAGGATTTTTCTTTAGGTTATAATTTAAACTTTTTAGCAAATTGCACCTCCATGTGTGGCTCTTTCACTGATTTTCTTGAGACTGCAGTGAATTTTTTCTACTTGCATAATAAGGGATATTTTTCCTCCCAGAAAATCTCTTTCATCCCCCTCTTGCCATTATGGCTTCGAGTCCTATTGTTCTGCTCTTTCCTCTTGGGAGCACATAACTTGTAGCTCCTGCTTGTGTCCTCCTCTTTAATATCTTTTCTCATCTTATTTTGCTTACTTACGTTTTCTGAGAGAGTATCTTAAAGTTATTGTCTGCATTTATAACTTGATGCTGTACAGTTGATTCTCTGTACGTCTATGGAGATGTTAGTTCTACTGTGGCTTTTGTAATTTCCCTTACGTTACTCAAAACTGGCTTCTTTTCATTTGAATCTAGTCTCCTTGAAGGGATTTCTGCTTCTGTTTCTTGGAGGCCAGATCTTCCTGAACCCCGAAGATGCCCAACAAGAGTTTCTACAAGTTTCTTCTGTTTCCTAGACCAAATGTTGTTGAGAAGTCCTTTTCCTCTGATTTTGGAAGATATTTCCTGCCCTGTGTGTAGAGGTTTTTTTTTCCATGGCCCCCCTGTGGCTGTGGTGTTGTTGTTCTTGTTTTTATTGAGGAGATTCCTAGACATGGTTTGCAACTGCTTTGGTCCCCCTCTGTCCCCTGGACAGTTATTTGAATCCCCTTCTGAACTTAGTATGCAGAGATTCTAGGCACCATCTCCTGGCGTTGCTCTGTCGGACTGAGAAGAATCTGTCTTTTTCCAAGTGAATGCAGTGAACGTAAACATACCCCAGTTCAGACAGCCGACAGGGCCCCTCTTTTCTCATCCTTCTCCTCCCTACAGTGTTTTGCTGCTGCTCCAGCAATTAGTGCTCCATGACTAACCCTGAGCACTTTGTATCGTGTTATTTTGGAGTTTTGGATCCAGAATCACTCAAGAAGGTGGAAATTAGAAAAGTGAGAGGAAAAGGGGAGTAGTGGTAGTCATGCCAAAAAAGCAGCATCCACGGAACAGGAGCAACAGAGACTCACTGTGTGGCTTCTATACGACTTGGGGGCTTGAGCCAAGCCTCAGGAGAAAGAGCAGTGTAGTTCTACTTTTCCGTGTTAGAAACCCTGGAGCCACTGAATGTGTCCATTTCTCATTGCAGTATTACCAGCCTTTTATTTGGTTGAAAACAACCCCAGATTCTAGAAATAGATAGGCAGCTAATTCCTGCTCATTGCCTCACAGTGAGATTATACATTTTGCTTTGCCTTCATAGATATTGGTTAGAATTTGTAACCCCTCCCCCCCAAAACCCCAACAAAACAAAAAACTGTTTAAGAACTGCTAGCTGGTGACGGTGAGGTTAATTTTTGCCCTGGATAGAGTCACTTGAAAATAAGTCACACACAGATGTTATATGTTATGCCAATTGCATATATCAGCCCGCTTCTAGACCAGTTAGTCTCATTCCAGAGTCCCACCTGAAAGATTTACTTTATGCACATAATGTTTTTCACACTGTGCTGGTGCTGTGCATGTTGCCGCATAATTAATCAGCATTTCTTCCTGAGAAAAGCCTGACTCTTAGTGGCATAAACAGATTGAGAAGAAAGGAGATACTGGACCCAGGATCAGTATACAACAACAGCAGCTGAGAAAATCAAGCAATAGCATTCACTAAGATAAACTGTCATTGCTTCCAGAAGAATAAATCATCAGATTCATACATTGTTAATTTTCACTGACAAGTATGTTTACTGAGTTCTTAATGTTTCACTCATCAGCAACTGACCTCCAGTATGTGTGTACTGTAAATTTTGTCCTTATGACACATCATTTCTCTCTCAACTCATGTGTGTATCTTCAAAATACAGAATAAACAAAATGGAAAATAACTTCACCTCGGCCTCCAAAACTTGAATTTGGTATGTTTAATTGTAAACAGCATAATCAGAATATGACTTAGCCATTCTCTTTCTGTCTTTCAGTATGAGAAGACAGTGATCCCAACATGAAGGGTTGATTTAACAAAACAATATCTATCTGAATATTGCTGCTGTTCTGCAGGGGCCAGAGATAGCTCCTGGGAGAATGCTCTGAGACTTTTCTGTGTATCAATGAAACTTGCATGTCATCCTTTAGAAATGTAGCATTTCAACTAGAACTTAACACATTCGAAAATTGTGACCCATTTGAGAGAATAAATCACATTTGGAAAAGGTTTTAATATGACCCAGGACAATATATCCTTCCTGAAGTCTTTTTTTTTTTTTGGCGGTAATTTCTTTCTTTTTTTTTTTTTAATATATATCAATATTTTTTTATTATGATATTGTGGGGTACAGTTAAGGGTTAGGTATACAAATATGCTTCGTTCAGGCACCCTTGTTGATAAGGGGTGTTTCCCCGTCCCCAGAGAGATATTACTACCGTTAATCCCACCTCCCTTCCCCTCCCCCCCATAGTTTCCCACCACTGTCGGTCCTTTTCTTACAGTAATACGATGAATGTTCGAGGTCCACTATATGAGTGAAAACATGTAGCATTTCAATTAGAACTTAACACATTTGAAAATTGTGACCCGTTTGAGAGAATAAATCACATGTGGAAAAGGTTTTAATATGGCCCAGGACAATATATCCTTCCTGAAGGCCTTTTAAAGATCAGCCCTTCAAGCGGCTGACACATGAGGGGAAGGGAACACTGCTGTTTAATAAGGTCCGCTCGACAGGGTCGCTTTTCTTTCTTTGCCACTTTCACATTAGGTAGCTTTGTCTTTTTGTTTGTTTCCAGTCTGTTTGTCTTGGTGGAAATGTGTGGTGGTCAGTTACAGATCCCTATAGAGATCTCAAAGACGTGAGGGCGAGCTCTAGTTGATTAGATGTAAGCAGTGAGAGCAGAACTGTTAAAAATCTAGCATTTTAGTAAAGTTCCATTTACTTCAATGAAAGGTGGTCACGGGTAAGACTAGCCAATCCAGACTCTGGGAAATGACCCTATGTTGAACTATTGCTCTTGTTCTGGTCAAATGCCACGGCAAGAATACACTTGAGATGGGGCGGGGTGGGGGGAGCGTGTTTCCTCTGGTCCTAAGAGACTAGCTGAACATACTGTCAATCATCCTAGGAAGTGGTTCATCACAGGGCAGGAGATGAGGCAAAACCTGGGGAGGGGGAAGCAGGGACTGCCTCATCCCTCAGGAGCCACGGGCAATTGGGTCCAGATCTGGGGGTGAAAGTGCCTGGAACAGCTCTGCCTGCCCACGGAGTGCTCAGAGGCACCAATCCTCCGCTTTTAATGAACAGCAACAGCAAAGACCAAAGCAGCAGCAGCAGCAATGTGGTGCAGGTCAAGGGTGCGATGTTGGTGAGAGGAGCCAGGCCTGCCATCTGGACTCAGGAGAGGCCATCTTCTTCCTGAATCTTTACCAGGGGACTCCAGGTGTGCCCACAAGCGTAACTCTATTACTAGCTCTAGCAGCAAGGTAAGCAGAATAGACAAGAAGCAACTGAAGGACTTGTTTTCGAGCCCTGGGAAACCATCTCACAGGACAGTCTCAGAAATGCTTTTGAACAGGGATGTTTTAGATAATGTCCACAGAGACATATGCATGAACAAATTAGTCATAGAAAGGAAGTATAATCTCATCTTATAGACAGATAAAGTCAATAACAGGGTTACCCTAGAAGTCACCCCAGTAACCTACTGAAGAGTAAACATTTCAGGTATGTTAAAATGGTAACCTTTTCTCCAATTCAGATAATTTTCTTTTCTTAAAATTATGAATTCCACTACCCCAAAGGTATGCAACACAGTTGTGTCTATATTGTACCTTAAAAATTAGGGGTGCTATTTAAAAAAAACTTAGAAGTTAGTTGCAGTGTGTATACATAAAGACACTACTTCTGGATGCATACGTTAATGGTAACGCTTATGTCATTACTATGAGGCTTTTTAAATTAGCGCACACCCCATGCAGTCCAGTTTACTTATGGGGCTAAGCCATAGTGATATACCAATGATGGGGTATATTTTTGAAGATTTGGGTTGTCTGGTCTCCTAAGTCAGTTTATAAAAATTCCTGCAAAACCTGGGGCTCACCTCAGTCTGTTGTGTTTTATTGCTTAATTAGCAAGTTGTCAAAAAGCGGCAGAATATACACTGAGTGATGATTTTTCACCTGTTCACTTACTTTTTATCGGGATAATGAGCTGTGGAATGACAGGTAGGATCTTGTTCCCCCCGTGTTCCAGCATGTCGTGGATTCCTTGCCGAGCAAAAAACTCATAGGGAAATGTCATTTCACAAAGCCCATCAAAAAACAGAGGCAGATAATGATGGTAATCCAGCTTCTCAATTTCTACCTGAAAGTAGAGAGAGAAGAAATGCCACGTGAAAACAACAGTTGGGGCAGAGTATGGCCAGATGAGCTGTGAAGCTCTGTCACCCACTTGGAAGGGGTGCGTTCGTTAGAACTTCAGGAAGATTTTATTAACCAATTCACCTAACGACTGCTTGTACCATTGTGTCTTTAAACTGTTAGCAATGAGGTTAAAATCATTGACCTTTAAATCCTAACAGTTAAATCTCTTATCCACATATAATCTACATTGGGGGGTATTAATCATTTGTTTCTTTTTTGTTATTTATCTTTTACCATTTGTCACAAATGTGATATTGAAGAGGATTCAAGAAGCTTATAGAATATATGCTGAAAGGTCATGTAAGATTACAATAATAGAAAAAAAAAAGCTGAAAAAGCTTGATATCCAAAGTTCTAGCAAGAATGCCACAGGAGCACATGCTGATACGTTCTTGCAAAGTACACCTTCTTTGGGAACTGGCAAACATGAGAGTAAGGGTCAAACATTATTTCCTATTCATTTCCACAAAGAGTGAAATGATGACATCAAGAAGAAATGGAGAAGAAAGAGTAGGCTGAATCAGAATGAACCACTGACATCTCAAAATCAAAACATTGCAATCCCCCCTGGCTGCTTCTTCTAGGAGCAGAGATGAATCTGTTTCCCACATCTCCATCTATCACCCTCCACAATGCCTCCACGATCTCTTGTCCAGACCTTGGTAGTAGGATCCAGCATCCCCAGGGAATTGAAACCAGAACTCCCGAGTTGAGAAGAGACAGATGGTGAATTGGGAATGACTTACATGTGACAGATGTATTCTTGCTCAGGTCCTTCACTGTCTGAACTTCCATCAGCAAAGTGATAGAGGTGACAGTGACGTTATAGGTGGAAAGAAGCCCACAGGCTCAGATGGTAGGTAAGATGCATCTACACAGAGCAAGAGGTGTGACATTCCCAGTAAGGGGCGACAATTTTAATTGTTTTCAAGTCTTAGGAATGCACTCAACTTCCAGTTACTACCTTCTTATCAAGCGGAACCCATCAGAAACTTTGAGAAACTGTCTTTTACGTTAGTAGGTTTACAAAATTGTTTCTATGGACACATTATAGATAAATATGTTCATGGAACACAAAGTAGTATTCAGATTTTGTAATCAAAGATCATAACACCACTTAATAGGAGGTTTTTATATCCCCAGTTCCCTCCCAAAATTCTGGAGTCTCAAGCCATGTATCTGCTTTCCCCTGGTGTGAGTACCTGGTAACACACCTTGCGTGTTCCTGAGTGTTTTTGAGGGATCTGGGTGAATAAAATGTCAGTCCCAAGAGTCAGTCGACCCTAACCCTAACCCTAGCCCTAACCCTAACTCCCATTCAGATCCTCTCTCAGAGCTGGTGTTTAAAACAAATCTCCAATGTACGTTTATATGGACATCAGTTTTATTTTATTTTGCTCGTATGTTTATAAGATTTACTTTATTCAATATGTTCATGGAATATGTACTTACTCCTAATTTTCTCAAGGATTTGTGTGCATTTGGAAATGTTTTAGAGCATTATTTTATACACCTTGAGCAATTCATTGCTGCATCTTTCAGTTCCTAAAAACCCAATGTTGTTATCTGTAATTTTACCTGGTAACCTAATTTCATAAAAATAACATATTTTAAAATGTTTTTTGATATGCTTTTGGTAATTCCCTTTCTTTTAGCTCATTGTCACACTTTTATACATGTTTCTTATAAGTAGTAAATCATCAAATTTTGATGCTTTAATATGCTCTAAGACTCTTTGTATTCTAAGTTAATTTAAGTCACTTACATATATGGTTATGCCTTGTTTAACTTCTGTTATCTTATTTTTGGTTTCTGGTGGTTTTCAGTTACTATTTTCAATTTTGCCGTTTTGCTACATAGATTATGCTGTTGTTTTCTGCAGTGACTTTAAAGATAAGACAGCTTGTTTATTTCATTGCAGCTATCTTACAGCTTTCTCAAATATTTTCAAATATTTACTTTCTTAGCAAGAGAGGTAAGTTAAAATTTTCCTGCTAAGATTCTTGACAATTCCATCTTTTCCTGGAATTCTGTCTATTTTTTCCTTTGTCTGATCTGGGGCAACAATACTAACAATATCAATAACACCAATGTTTGTTCACAATACCTCTCAGACTTTGTTGTTAGGAACATTGAGATGTAGCATTATTACAACCTCTTGATGAATTATTCCATGTATCCTATGTCCTTACCCTCTTTATCATTATTAATATCGTTTGTCGTAGTCTATCCTTATATTAATATTGCTGTAATTGGTTTGCCAATTATATCTTTTTCGATCGTTTTATTTTCTTTCTTCCTCTTACATTATAAAGTGTCTCTCGTAAGTAGCTTTGTTTTTCCTCCTTCTAGTTTGTAAAGTGCCTTCAAACAACAAATACTGAGCACATAATTCCTATTCATAGAAGTTTTGAAAAAGGTAGAAAACTTATGAGAGAAAAAGTGAGAAAAGAGAAAAAAAGAGGGACAACTAAAAGAGAAAAGAATTGGTTTAAAGACTAAATGAGAGAATGTGGGAGAGAAAAAAGTTACCTCTATGTTTTAGAATTTTCCTAGCTCACTGATCACAGTAATTCTTTCCTACCAAAAGGTCTCTCATGAGCTCTTTTTCTGACCTATCAGTTATTTGGCACATCTGTGAGCATTATAAATCTGTTTCCTTAACAACAGAATAACAATTTGCCTTTATAGTTTGAGCTCATAAACTTGTTTAAACACTATAGATATAGTTCTACTTGCTACAGGGTGAATGTTTTTTGTATGTTACTTTCTTTCTTGGGTTCCTTTTTTATTATAATAATATGATTGTCAGTTGATAAATTTGGCCTAGACTTTGGTAAGCCCCCTTACATTCCATTTATCATCAGGCTTGCTTTTAAAAAAATTTTTATGTGTGTGTGTTTTAATATTACACTTGACCTCTCTTCAAGGTATTTTTCTGAAAAATTTCTTTCAGCTACTGCTCCATTTTCACATTGTTTTTCACAGTAAAGTTTTCAAAAGAATTATCTAAAGCCACTTTCTAGACTTCTTCACTCCCATTCTACTTATATTGCCATTTCCCTGAAGTTGCTTTTTTCAAGGTCATCAGTGACCTTCTTTTTGTCTAATCTCCCAGTCCCTCTTTTGTTCTCATCAGCACAACACAGCTGACCTTACAAAGTTGTCTTCCCTGGGGTTCCTGGTGTCAGACCCCCAACACTGGGGAAATCAACCTTATTCCCTCATTTCAATCCCTAGTGGCCTGGCCTCACTAGTTCCTTCTAAGAGACTTTTTTGGAGTGCATATGTCTTAGCTCAGGCTGCCATAACAAAATACCATAGAGTAGGTGGCTTACAAAACAGATATTTATTTTCTCACAGTTCTGGACACTGAAAGATCCATACCAGGGTATCAGCATGGTCAGGTTCCATGGGGGGTTTTCTTCCTGGCTTTTAGACAACTGCCATCTCACTGTGTCCTCACATGGTTTTTCCACTGCATGCATCTAGAGAAAGAGCTCTGGTGCCTCTTCTTTTTATAAGGACACCTGTCTAATAGGATTAGGGCCCCACCCTTATGAACTCACTTAACCTTTACTACCTCCTTATAGGCCTCATCTTCAAATGTAGTAACATTGGGAATTAGTGCTTCAGTATAATGAATAGGGGTGGGGAGAGACCCAATTCAGTACATAGCACACCATTCTCTTTCTCAACCACCTCTCTGTCACTGGCAAGTCCTTTCTTCTTTATTTCAGTTTAGTGAGGCCTTCCTACAATTGCCTATCACCCTGTTTGATTTTATTTATAACCCTTATCATTTATTCATTACAATTCCTGAAGTTTTGTTGTTTAGTGAGCTTGTCATTGCCTGGAAGGGTGCTTGGCACATAACAGATGAGTATGTGTTGAATTTTAATTCTGACCTTTTGAATCTGTCTTCTGTGTAAACTTCCTTGAGAGGAGTACTCAGATAAGAACAATGACCAGATGATGAGTGACCACCTAGAGCTGAGGTCAGAGACAGAGTAGAGTGCACCATGGCTCTGGTGTTTAACACTCACCCTGTATTATGAAGGAGTACATACGTTTCTATGAATTTACATATACTACAACTTCATGTAGTCTACAAATAAAGTGCTGTGTTTTACTCATTAGAATTGCAGTGATTATTTACATTGCAGGAATTTTGTAAGTATATCAATAGACAAGCAAGATGGGCTACTTGATGCTTGTAATGTCTCTCATTTACTAAAAATCATTTTAAAATGTATTGGCTATTCTGTTTTTTTGGTAGTTTTTGAGTTGATATATAATAGTTGTACATATTTTTTATCCTGTTTACCTTGACACCTTGAAAGTTTGTTTTTTAAAAATATCATCAAATGCAAGCATATTAAGATATGTCCATTTTGATGATGATAATCAGAGGTCTTCATTTAAAAAAATAGATGTTAAGAATAATTTTGTATTCAAATTGAAATTTGAAACAGAGGTAAATTAGGAGATCCCTTATTGATTTTGTGTGTGTGTGTTTGTCACATTGTTACTCCGATGCCAATTTTGAGTTCTAAATTGCTGACTTCTTTTGTTCACAAAGATTTACAAAAAGTCATTTTTAAGGTTTCTTTAACAATAAACCTCACTGCAGTTATGCGAAATTTTCACTCTAAGAATAACTAATTTAAGGCTATGGGTTGTTTTAGAGATATCAGTCAAGTTATATGCCAATACACTGATTAATTACTCTTATGGTATTAACTCCAGACATATGAAGTTTTTTGTCCTCAAATAATATTTTTTAAAATTTATATTTTATAACTTTTCAAAGATCACATAATACCTACAAGTTTATCTTTAAATCTTACAGTGACCTTTGGTCAAAAGCAATGAAATTCTAACTTGACCTAGCCTGTCAAATATAACATTTTATCCTTATAACAATTGTGTAAGGTAGAA